CGACTTCCGTGCCGCCCTCGACGGCCAGCACCTTGGGCGACGCGCTCGTGACCGTGGCGCTTGTGACCTGCAATGGATGGGGATTTCCAGCGTCACTTGCAAAGTGACGCTGCCGGGTGACCGTTGCAGCGCTCGCGCCGGCCGAGAGCGCCAAGAGGACGAGCACACGAGCGACCATCTCGACCATACTCGCGATTCTGGGGCAGCACGACGTCAAGAACCGCGGCACCGTCAGCTCCATCCACGCTGCGGCGACGAGCTGAGGCAGCAGCAAGCACCCGCGTCCGCCACGCCCCACACCAAAATTCGAGCCGATGCGGAGATCAGGAATAGAAACCAATCACGACGGTCAAATGAGTGCATCCGTGATCGTAGTTTTTCCTAAACCGTCGCGCGCAAAACGTGCGCGATCCGAGGCCTCGACGCCGCGCGCCGCTACGGCCAACCCCGCCGCGCGGCGCCGCCCGCAACCCCCCCCCGCCCGCGCGCAGGCCGCCATGTTCGCCCGCGCGCGCGTCCTCGCGCGGCCGCTGCGGGTCGCGCGGCGCGGCCTCGCGGCGCCGAAGAGCAAGAAGTCGAAGCAGGCGTCGCAGGCCGCGGACAACGACCACAAGGACGCGGCCTACGACTTCTACAAGGCCATCATCGACGCGCCGAAGCGCAAGCGGCCCAAGCTCCCGGATGACGTGGCCGCGGCGCACTTCGCGATCGGGCGCGAGTACAACGTCAAATCGCGCGCGAAGCACGACGCGTTCGAGGCGCGGCTCCAGATGAAGCTGGACCTCCAGCAGGCGGCGCTCGACGCGCTGCCGGTGGACCTGCGGCGCCGCGCCAAGACGCTCGAGGGCGTGCCGCTGCCGCCCCTGGATCGCCGCGTCTGGACGCTCACGCCGCCAATCCCGGGCTTCCGACCAGAGGACCACGTCGACGAGGACGATTGAGGGGCGTTTTTCTAATCGACCGTTACTACAAGTCGACCGTCTCGCCGACGGGGTCCGCGGGCGCGGCGACGGGCGGCGGCTCGTCGCCCTTCGCCTCGGCGACGGCGGCCTCCGCGCGCGCCTCGGCGACGGGGACCGCGTCGTCGTCGAAGGGGTTCTTCCCCCCCGGCGACCCGGCGTTGTCGAAGGCGCCTTCGGATTCCTCGGGCACGGCGACGACGCCCTCGGCCTCGTCGGGCACGGCGACGGCGACGGCGACGTCCTCGAGGCGCTGCGAGACGCGCGCGTAGATGGACCCGAAGCCGTCGAGCTGGAACGTCTCGGACCGCGCGTAGGCCAGCAGCGCCTCCGAGAGCCGCGCGCTCCAAAAGGCCTGGAGCTTGGCCAGCTCCTCGTGGACGAGCGCCGCCGCGGCGACGAGCCGCGCGCGCAGCCGGTCCTCGGCCAACGTCGCGGCGGCGACGTCCGCGTCCGTCGAGAGCATGGCGTCCGCGTGGCTCTGCTCGGCCCAGGACGCGAGCTGCGCGCCGTAGTCGCTCGACTCGCTCGCGCGGCTCGCGGCGCGCCGGAGCTGGATCTCGCGCTCGTCGCGCGAGGCGACGTGCTCGCGGAGGTGGCGCCGCGCCGTCGCGGACTCGCGCCGGCACCACTCGTGCATGTTGAGCGCCTCCTGCGCCGTCGCGAGCCACGCGCGCTCGTCGGCGCAGACGCGGAGGAAGGCGTGGGCGCCCTCGCGCAGGGGCACGGCCTTTTTCGCGGCCGCCTCGCGCTTGGCTTTTAGGGCCGCGGACAGGGGCCGGTCCTCGCAGAGCGCCTCGGCGACGTCGACGGCCGCGCGGCCGCTCCGCGCGAGCGCGACCTTGGCGTCCGCGGCCGCGGACGTCGACGTCTCGCAGGACGTCAAGAGCCGCTCCATGCTCACGACCCAGGCCTGCAGGTCCTCGGCGCGCCGCTTCGCGTCGCGGTCCGCGTCGTCGGCGTGCGCGTCCGCGCCCATGCCCAGCGCCTCCGTGACCTGGAGCCAGGAGGCGCCGACCTGCACGGTGGCGGGCGCGAGGCCGCCGTCGCGCTCCGCCTGGGCCCGCCGCGCGGCCCACTCCTCGGGCTGGTCGTAGAGGAACCCGAGGAGCAGCGGGTCCCGCCGGATGAGGTCGAGCGACGTCGACCGGTCCAGGAAGGCCTGCATCGTGTCCATGAGCGACACCTCCATGTCCGCCGTCAAAGGCTTCGCGCCGCTCAGCACGCTGTGCGGCGACTCGGCGTAGGCGACGAGCGGGCCCGGCGGCACGCAGAGGCCCGGCAGCTTCATGAGCAGCGCGCGGCGCAGCCAGTTCGCGTCCTCGAGCGACCGCGTCACGCGCACGGGGCCCGCGCCGCCCGCGCCGCCGCCGGCCGCGTGCGCGAAGATGGGAAACTTCCAGACGACGCTCGCGCCGCCGAGCATCTCGGCCTTGATGGGCGCCTCCACGGCGACGCGCGCCACCTCGGGCAGGTCGCGCGGCACGCTGGCCGACGACGCCGACGCGCCGAGCATGGAGGAGACGAAGTCCATCGTGTCACGGCGGCGGCGCGACGGCGGCGGCGCTCGTCGACACGCGAGGTAGACGGCAGCGGCGCGCGACGGCAGTGGCGCTCGTCGCACGCGAGGCCGATTCACCTCGCAGCTTTTCCCTAGTCACTCAAGTTGTAGTTCAAGCTACTTCTAATTGAAGCTCCCAAGACCCCCGATCGAGGCGATGGCAGCCCTCTTGCCCCCACTCGCCGACGGCGTGGCGCAGGGTCTCGCCGACGTGCGCGCCGCCGGCACGGCGCAGGGCCTCACCGACGTCGGCGCGCCACCGCATCCCAGCGACCTGTACGACTACGGCGCCATCGCCGAGGACCAGGGCGCCCTCCCGGCGACGCCGGAAGAGCTCGCGCATGCGAAAGCGACCTTCGACCGCGACGGCCTCGTCGTGTTCAGCCGAGGGCTCGAGGCGTCGGCTCCCGCGTTGCGCGCCGCCGTCGACGCCCTCAAGGACGGCAGCAACGCGGACTTCCGCGACGCGCTCCTGGCGCAGCGGCGCGCGCGCGGCGGAGCGCCGCCCGACTTCACGAACGGCGCGAAGATCCCCTGGGTCCAGTACGAGGCGGGCTGCGAAGTCGCCGAGCCCCTCGAGCCCGGCGCAGCGTCGAGCGACAGGAGTGAGTTTTCGCGTGAAAATCCGACCCCGTCGCACTCGGTAGGCCCGGCGCCGGCGACCGCATGCGCAAGGCCATGGGCTTCGCCAAGTACTCGCGGCCGATCCGCGAGCGCGCCGTCGAGGACCCGCGCTTGAACTCGCTCGTCCGCGCGCTCCTCGGCGACGCCGACTTCGAGCTGTACCAGGACATGGCCCTCCTGAAGCCGCCCGGCGGCGGCCGCGAGAAGCCGTGGCACCAGGACGCGGCCTACTTCAACCTGGCCGCGGACGCGCGCGTCGTCGGCTGCTGGATCGCGCTGGACGCCGCGACGCCGGACAACGGGTGCCTCGTCTTCGAGCGCGGTGGCCACGCGCGCGGCGAGCTGCCCCACTTCCCCGTGCGCGACTACCAGCTCTGCGACGCGGAGCCGCGGCGCGACGTCGTCGCCTGCCCGCTGCCGCCCGGCGGTTTGGTGCTCTTCCACGGCCGCGTCCCCCACGGCACGGCGACGAACGCGTCGCCGCGGCCGCGGAACGCGCTCCAGCTCCACTGGGTCGCG